CGGGGGCAGCGGGGCGAGGGCCGCGCGGGCCCGGGCGGAGTAGCATTATAATGGCGTGTTGTATATTTTTCAATTTCCTAAAGGTAACTGTTCAGTCCTCACCTAATTTTACACAGCATGTGAGGGAGCAGAGCCTGGTGACGGACCAGCTCAGCCGCCGCCTCGTCCGGACCTACCAGCTCTACAGCCGCACCAGCGGGAAGCACGTGCAGGTCCTGGCCAACAAGCGCATCAACGCCATGGCGGACGACGGGGACCCCTTCGGTAAGGGCCCCCAGGCCTGTCCTGCGGGCTCCCGGCTCGGGGAGGACGGAGTTAAAGCAGCAAGGCGGACCGAGGGTCAGCTGGAGAGCAGGGCCGGGGACGGCCCTGGGGGACCTGGTCCGCAGGTGCCCCTTCCCTGCCCAGCCGGGGGATGGCTCCGGGGGTCCCCCGTGTACCCCGCCCCCCTGCAGGTGGAGGAAGGGGCTTCAGGGGCGGGGGCCCGGGTTTAAGGGAAGCTCTTGAAAGAAGATACGTCACCAGGGCCCACGAAAGGGGAGTGGGAAGGGGCAGGGAGAGCTCGCCCACCTTGGCGAGGGAGGGTGCTGTGAACCTCCAACCGCTTTGATCAGAAGGGTCAGTTACACCGGGGGCAGCGGCGGGGGCTCCCCGTGGGGTGGTGGGACAGGGAGCTCCTTCGGGCGGAGGGGCAGAGGACGGATGGATTTCTAAAGCACTCACTATTTCTGCCTGGAAACGGGGCCGGTTTCCAGAGCCCTGGATGTACCGAGAGGGAAGCAGGCCCTCTAAGCGGCTGGCGGTGTTTTTAGAGAACGATTATTGTGAGGTTAAAAACCTTTAAATAACGACCAAGTTAAACAGGCATGAAAGGGGAGAGGAAGACTCTATTAAAACGCAATAAAAAGGTGAGGCATTTTAAGAGCTAAGAAGAAGAATGAAGAATGATATAAAGCAGAGAAAGAACCAGCCTGTTTTCAGAGGTGGAGTTTGAAAGGAGTTGCGAGTCTGTAAATGTTAAAAAAGAGGTTGAGGATTGTTCTCTGTGAATCTCTGGAGAGACCCCCGCGTCTGGCAGAGCGATTAAAACTCTTCTTACTTTCACCTTTTTTAACATTTCCTGAATACTTTCTCCTCTTCGCAAGCCGGTTTGGGGGATCGAGTATGTCTCGCTGCATTTTTTCTGCATCGACGTAGCTGACTTCCCTTCAAAGCTGGAGGAGGAGACATAATTTTCCTGGGATAAATCTGTCACTGGGGTGGAAGAATAGGTTTGAAAATGTTAAGCTCTGCAAAAGCCTGGTTGGGAAAAAGCTGCTGTAAACTTCAGCCCAGGTCTCCGTCCCTCAGGGAAGGAGAGCGGGCTCTTGCGGTGGGGGTGGGGGCCGCCCCGGGTGGGGGTGGGGGCGGGGGCGGCCGGCCTGGTGGCCAGGCCCCCCCACTGGGCTGGCAGAGCAGGGCCTGCGGTCCCTTTGTCCCTCCAAAGTGGCTGCTTGCTCCTTTCTCAGCTTCCAAGGAGAGGAAGGAAGGCCTGGCTCCTCCAGGGTTTGCCGGATTGCAGCAAATGGCTCAGGATCCTTGGATTTTGTGGAGGGAAGGAGAAGCGGGCAGATTGGTCCTGAGAAGTCAGGGGCGTCTGCTGAGAATGCATGTCCTGAGACCCAGGGGAGGCTTCCCAGGTGTCCTGGGCCCTGCCGGCGAGGCAGGAGTAAGAGCTAGAGACCCCAGGAACTGAGGCACAGGGTATGGGGCAGGACCCCAGGAGTCTGGAGAACAGGGAAGGGGTCCTGATTGCTTCCCCAGGGGCTCAGGAAGCCCCTGAACCCCCGCTTTATCCCTGTCTGCCCCGTTTCGCCGGAACCTTCACGGTGGGTTCTCTGGCCAGCACCACGTCTTCTCCGGCCAGCACTTTCTCAGCTCTGCAAAGCACCCACTCCAGAAGGCAGACCCAGAGAGGGATGAGTGGATGGCCCAAGGGGAGGTGGCCCGGAGGGGACTGGGCCAGGCTGGGGACTTCGGCCGCTGGGTTCCAGCCCTGTGCAGGTGTGAGGGGTGGACAGCCACAGGCAGGGCGGTGAGGCTGCCTGGCTGGCCTCAGTGTCTCCCCACCCTGGCACTGGTTTTGGGCGCAGAAAAGGCTCCAGGTGTGGACACAGAGAACATCCCAGCGCTGCTTTCTCAAGGAGGGAAAAGACTGCACGCTGCGTGTGTGTGGGGGGAGACGCGGCCTCTCCCCGCGGCGGGGTCAGCCCTGGCCCTCTGGCTGGGATGTCTCGAGAGCAGCTGCACAGAAAGGGCAGCTTCCGGGACAAGTGTGAGGGGAGGAGGTGGGAAGAAGGCGCAGAATCCTGCCCTCCTGGGGCGCTTGGGGTTTCCGTGCTCTTCGCCGCAGAGAGTACTTGGTGGTGGTGGTGATAGCTGTGGCCAGGGCCTGTGAGAGATCCGGCTGAGCTGCAGGTTGAAGAAGACGGTTGGGTTGCTGATTCCGGAAGCTGGGGCTGAGGCCTGGCACCTGGGAAGTCGAGGGAAGGAGGTGGGGTCCTCCCAGCTGGCAGCTGAGGTCCCAGAAGCAGTTTTGCGCTGTGTCTAGGGAGAGCTGTCCCCATCTCTGCCACCACTCGGTGGGGTAGGGGTGACCAGGGCTGTGAGATGGGTCAGGGGAGAATCTCTGCCTTTGGGGTCAGCCCCTGCATGCCAAGGTTCATAATGACCTGTGAAGTGCACGCACGCGATATACCGAGTGGGAGGATCCACAGGGTCTTTGGGGTAGCCATGGAACTCTGATCAGGTTAAATTCTCCTGAGAGCCTTGACATAAAAGTTATCACGGTCTGAAGAGAGGGCAGAAGGAATGCAGAGTCAGCGTTTTCACTCGGATGGCCCCAGGACCCTTGTGTGGAACACACCTTGTAAACTGTGAGCCTGTCCAAGCCCCTCTGTAGACCCGAGGTGCGGTCCGAAGCCCAGAAAACCAACTTGACGCCTGTCAGGACTGCACAGTACATTGGTAGCTCGGCGCGGCTGTTTTGAAGGCCTGGCCCTTGGGCCGGTTGCTGCTGGGATGTGGCTGGTCTCTGGGGACAGGCTGTGGAGCTGTGGGGTCAGGTACCCTTCAGTGACCATCCTGCACCTTCCCCGGTAGCCAAGCTCATTGTGGAGACAGACACCTTTGGGAGCCGGGTTCGAGTCCGTGGGGCTGAGACAGGTCTCTACATTTGCATGAACAAGAAGGGGAAGCTCATCGCCAAGGTGAGGCTGGGGAGGGGAGTGGGGTGGGCTCGGAGCGGGGCGGCTTCCGCTGACGGCTCCTCTGGGACTCCTGGGCGCTGAGCTCAGGCCGGTGTGCGGAGGGGAGCAGCCACCTCGGGGGTTACCTGGTGGGTGGGTGGGGGGTGGGAGGAAGAAACTGCTGGAGAGTCAGAAAGCTATGGAAGGAGGACAGAAAGGAAGGCTAGGACAGGGGCCGGGGGTGGTAAATTCCATATATCTTTTTAACAAATCGCCAAATTGCTTTGCTATTATGTCCAATTACATGGTACCAGTATTTGGAATGTTCAGTAAGCCGCAGGCCCAGCCCCTCAGCCGCACTCTGGAATGGGCCTATTAGTCACGGCTCCTCTCCAGCCCAGAGCTCCCGGCATCCTGGGCTCAAGCGGCTTGGGACTCAGTCTCCTTCTGGGCCTCCCCTCCCCCACAGGGTGGCCGCCCTGAGTGGGGGACAGAGTCCTGAGGGCCTAGGGGCCGGGCAGCGGGCAGCAGGCCAGCTCCGGGCCCCTCACTCTGTGCCTCTGCCGGGGCCCGGCCATGTGTCGCTGCTGCCCAGAACGACAGGAAGTTGCCGGGTGGGCCGCAGGTTGTGAGGGATTAGAGACCGGGCGCCTGGGCAGGGGGTGTGGCTGGGTCCTGCGCCTTCGCCATCTGCTGGGGTGACACCTGCTGCTGGGCGCTGGCACGCTGCCTCCGTGGGGGGCTCCGTAACCGTGTCTGCCCCCTGCCTGCAGAGCAACGGCAAGGGCAAGGACTGTGTGTTCACGGAGATCGTGCTGGAGAACAACTACACGGCCCTGCAGAACGCCAAGTACGAGGGCTGGTACATGGCCTTCACCCGCAAGGGCCGGCCCCGAAAGGGCTCCAAGACGCGGCAGCACCAGCGGGAGGTGCACTTCATGAAGCGGCTGCCCCGCGGCCACCACACCACCGAGCAGAGCCTGCGCTTCGAGTTCCTCAACTACCCACCCTTCACGCGCAGCCTGCGTGGCAGCCAGAGGACTTGGGCCCCAGAGCCCCGGTAGACGTCCTGCGCCTGGGCAGGAGCCGGACGCTGGGGGGCGAGGGCGGGAGGAGCAGGGCCGTGTCCTAGTTGTGGATATCATTTGCTCTTGGGTTTTATTGCTGTTTTTTAAACAAAAGAGAGGATCTATTTTTGTATTCCACTGGCGGTGGCGTCTGTGTTCTTAGCTCCCAGGAAGGCCTGTCAGCGGCCCGGGCTGCCAGGGTGGGTGGGCGCTGCATCTGACAGAGGTGCGCAAGGCCCTGCAGCAGCAGCAGGTGCTGGCCAGGGAGCACAAGCCGAGCCTCGGTCGGTTCTTGCAGGACTGGGGCCCGCGGGGGGGCTTGTCACTCGCTGCTGTCAAATGATTGCACTGTTTAGCTTATTTAAAAAATTAGAGGTGTGTGCTGGAGAGTGAGACCTACACCCACACGCGTAGGCACACCCACACGCACATGCACACGCACACCCATGCTGCCCAGGGTGGCTGGCAGCGGGGGACAGGTCAGGCACCAGCTGACTGTGACATCCCTCCATCCGGAGCAGGGACCCTGCCTGTCAGCCGCCCCCTATCCCTGTCACTGGAGGGCTTTCCTGAGAGGTCAGAAGCAGGAAGGGTCCAGGAGCGGCTCTGAGCTGGTCCCGGACGCTGTCAGACAGCTCTCAACAGAAGTCACTGCAGACACTTCCCCCAGCCACGGTCACCTCAGCCAGAACCGATGAGCCGGTCCCAGGCTGGGGTGGATTCCAGTCTTTGAGGAAGTGCTCCTTTCTGTGCCTTGCCTATGCGAGAGGTGCAGAACCAGTTCTTTCTGAGAACCAGGCTCCGAAAAATGAAAGCAGCTGCCAGAGACCAGGGTGGTGCTATGTTGGAGAGGACCGCCCGAGCCATGTGCACACCGGCCACGGGGAAGGAGTGCTAGCGTGGGGGAGCTCTGACCTCAGAGAGGGCCTAGGGCGAGAGGAGCCGGGTGCTAGGCAGGTCCTGGGCAGGTCCTGAGGGGAGGCTGGGCCAGGGCAGAGCTCAACCCAGCAGGGCCCGGGGCAGAGGTGGCCACATCCAGAGGACCAGGCAGCAGGACGGAAGTGTGGGGCAGGCCGGCCGGCAGCATGGCGGGGAGGGTGGGGAAGTGGACTCTGCATCCGCGGTGAGGTTGGTGTCGAGCCGCCGGTCTTCACACCTGTGCCTCCTGGGCCTCTGGCTGCCCCGGGACTGCGCCCGCAGCCCAGTCAGAAGCAGCTGCCCTCGGGTCTTTGGAGTCTCCCTTGGCATGGGTGCCGCCCAGGCTCCAGGCCCAGCCGCTGGGTGCACCGGGAAGTCCAGGGCTCAGCGGGGAGCCTCGGGTGGAGAGGCTGGGGTGCCGTGGGCTTTGCCCGTGGCCTACAGGAAGGGTGAGGGGCTCTGGAGGGAGTGGATTGTCCTAGTCCCCCCCAGAAACGGGCGTGGGGGGCTCTGGACGTCTCCCTCCCGGTTCCCCCAGCTCTTGGTGCCTTCTCTGCTCCCCTCCCCCTTTAATTAATTCTGGGTGAGCAGCCTGGCTTTATTGTGCAGGGAGCGAGGGTCTCACTGTGGGAAAAGTCACACCTGCTGAGCAGCTTCTGATGCCATGCAAATGAAGAGACCGTCCAGGAAACGCTTTCATCTGCACGGCCGCCTGTCCAGCCCCTGGCCCAGTAATTACCCACATTTCATTTGTTCGAGAGCAATTCCTAGGGGAAGCCACAGGGGAGGAGGGAGTCTGGGGTGGGGTGGAATGTCAGGCTCCCCGCCTGTGATCCTGGCCACCGAGTGCAGCAGGGCTGGGCCCAGGCCGGGCATTGGCTAGGCCGAAGCTAAGCCTCCAGCCCCGGCTGGGGATGCCGGGGCCCTGGGGGTGCTGGGTTGGAATCCTGCCCCCATCTTGGTATCTAGGGGAGATGAGGTGAGCTGTGTCCAGAGAGTCCAGCGAGACCTGGCCGGGTGGGACAGGTGGACACAGGGTGGGGGTTGGGTCTGTGAGTCCGTCTGAGGCTTGGAGAGGGGCCGCCTCCAGCTGACTGCCAGGCCAGGGACCCATGGGAGCTGAGCCCAGGCCAGGGGACAGGGTTGAGCTGCAGCACCCACCAACTTGTTTATCTCCAAGTTGCTGCCTCCGGAGCCCTTGCTAATGGGGTTTTACAGCCCGCTCAAGCTGCAACTGGCCAAGAATCAATCATTACCGGCACTTAGTGGTTTGATAGTTAACAGCCTGAACTGCAGCCAAACTGGTTGTTAGCTGTGATAACAACTGATTTCAAGGGGTTATTGCCGCCCAGTGTGCTCAGCCCATTTATTCCGGGGAAAACAAGCAAGGAGCGTAGCAAGGCCTAGAGAGGGGAGGATGAGTGTGCTGTCCCAGCCAAAAGGGCAGCCACTGTGTCCCAGAGTCTCAGTGGCCTCAGAGGGCCTGGGGGCTGCTGAGATCTGTGTGGAAGCTGACGCCAGGCCCTGAGGCCGTGTGCAGGCCGTCTGTCCACGGAGAGACCGCAGGCCACCTTCGCTGTTCTGCCTCTGTCCTCTGGGCCCCTCCCCTTCCGCAGCCCTCGGGATGCCCTCACACGCAGAGCCCCTCCAAGCCCAAAGCAGAGCCACTCCTGTCCCTCCAGAGCTGGGGAAGACCAGCCCCAATCTCAGCTGGAAGGAGGGAGATCTTTCCTCCCGCTCCTGCGCCCCTATGCACTGGAGCTCGAGGAAAGTCGTCCTCCGCCACTGTGCTACATGTCCAGCGGGGCGTCACTCTAGCTTTGTGTTTTTTGTTCGTTTGGTTTTGAGGCAGGGTGTCCCTATGCAGTCCCAGCTTGCCTTGAATTCACTATGTAGCCCGGGCTGTCCTCAAACTTACGCGGATCCTCCTGCCTGCCTCGTGCTAGGATCACAGGTGTGTGCCGTCACACCTGGCCCAGCATCATTCTAGAAACTTTGAAAAGAGTCAGGGCCCTGCCCTCCCCACGGGCCAGAAGTCACCAGGGCGATAGGCAAGAGTCAAAGCTGATTTTAAGAGTCAGTCTGTGCCCAAGGCCCAGGCTACCTCCGAAGGACTGAAGGTTTCACACTAGTTCCGCTATTCATTCAGTAAATCTTTACGGAGTGACTGTTATGTGCCAAGCCGTGTTCTGGACAGAAGTTAGGAAGTGAGAGGCAAAACCCCAACAGCAGGGACCTCACTTTCCCCAGGGGAAGGACTCAGAGCCAGCAGGGCACAAGGTCAGTACCAGCTGAGAGACAGACATGGACCTGAAGGGCAGCGGCAGTTTCGTGGGGTGACGGTGTCAGAGTGGCCCGTGGAGGCGCAGCAGGGAGCGAGTCAGGCTGGCGAGGTGGAGGGGCGCGGGGCAGCGTGGGCAGAGGGGAGGAGGGCGCAGCTGAAGCGGACCAAAGATGGCAGGGGTGGCAGAGGGCAGGTCCCACTGGGGCCCGGAAAGAGTTCTGCTCTACCCTCAGTGGGATGGCGGCCCTCTGTGGGCCGGGCCAGAGCAGCGTTTTTTTAAAATTAGATTTTATTGGTAAATTTCAGATATACATAGTGATCACATTCATCATAGAGAACTTGCACCTGTACATGGTATAAGCTGATGTTTTACCACTCCCTTCCCCTCCCTGCAACTCCTCCTGCCCTCCCCATTTACAAAAGCTTTGTTTCCATTTTCTGTGTATTTTCTCTCTCTCTCTTTTTTTTAACTGTTCCCTTCCTTTCCCCTCCCCCATCCTTTTTTCCCCTCTCCATTTGAACATTTTCTTCCTATTTCCCAGTATCTATTATACATTTTGGTCCTTGTTTACAATTTCAGCTTCTCACACCAGAGAAACAGTGCAGTATTTACAGGTGTGTCTGATTTATTTCCCTTAAGAGAATGGTTTTAAGGTGCATCCATTTACCTAGAAATGTCTGGAGCTTATCCTTCTTTACGGCAGAGTAGTACTCCATTGTAAAAAAAAAGACACCACTCATCTTCTTTATCCATGCCTCAGTTGCTGGGCATTTGTGCTGTTTCCAAGATTTGGCTATTACAGATTATGCTGCTATAAGCATGGGTGTACACATATCACTGTGGTGTGATGCTTTTAATTCAGAGCATTTATTTGGAAGGAAAGCTTAAGATGAGAACAGACATAGTGGGCCAGGGAGCTGGGTTAGGAAGTTGCTGCCCTGACCTAGGTGAGAGCTAAGAGTGGATTGGGAGCCTAGTGTTGTGGTACGCGTCTGTAATCTCAGCACTTGGGAGGCTGAGGCAGGAGAATCACTGCGAGTTCAAGGCCAACCTGGGCTACATAGTGAGTTCAAGGCCAACCTGAACTACATAGGCCCTGTCTCAAAAAACAAAGCAAAGCCAAGGAGCAAACTGAGAACAGTGAGAAGAGAGTGGAGTTGTGGACATCTTTGGCAAGTCGAGATGACAAGCTTTGCTGGTGGGTCTGGATGTGGTTTGTGAGGGAAGGAAGGAGTGCAGGAATTCTGCCCTGAGCAAGTGGAAGGACAGAGGTACCAGCTGCTGAGAGAAGGGAGGCCAGGAGGGCAGGAGGGGGAGTTTGGCGTGGACACAGGAAGCTGGGCTGACTGAATATCCCGGGGAGGCGATGCGTGGGCAGCTGTGGGCGTGGGCGGTGAGGAGGTATAAATCTGGCTGTGCTAGCCAAGGGGACACAGCTTTCCCTCCTGAGCGCTGGAGGTGGAGGAGAGATCTAGGCCTGAGCGCTGCGCTGCTCCAGACGGAGGTCAGGGTGAAGGGAGAACGCTGGCGAAGAGGGCAGAAGCAGCAGCTGGACGTGGTGGCGCACCCCTGTAATCCCGAACTCTGGGAGGCTGAGGCAGGAGAATCACAAGTCAAGCCCAGCCTGGGCAATTTAGCGACTTAGCAAAACCCCACCTCAAAACAAACAAACAAACAAACAAAAATTGTTAAAGGGTGCAGCTCAGTGCCAAGGCCCTGGGCTCCGTCTCCAGCGCAGTGGATGAACGCGTGAAGGGGCAGCAGGGCTGCGGGCCCCAGGCAGGCAGGAGGAGAGTGGGAGAGTGCTGTGCCCTGGTCAGGGAGGAGCAAGGCCCACGCGGCCTGCAGCTGTGCAGGGGGGGACCACACGACTT